AACCTCTTCTGGGCTCACCTGAGCCACAAGCATTGTATTTGCATGGTACAGGCAGCTCATCTTAATAGTTTATTGTTAACATTTAATACATAGAGTTTTAGACTTCAGGCTGAAAGCCATTTAAGAAATTATCTTGTCAAAACTTCTTATTTTGCAGATTTGAAAATTGGGATGCTAGATGTCATGCAGTGTGCCTGAGGTTATACATTTAAGGCAAAACTGGAACCACAGTGGAGGCTGGTCAGTCCCAAGTTGGGGATCCCACTGCTTGCCCGTCCCTTGTTTTGCTTTCTTTGGAGAAGCACCTAGTATAGAATCAGACTCATGAATCTGGGAAGAGAAAAGCCAAGTTCGAGTCATGAGGCTCGTTGTAAGAGTTTCCTAAGCAGAACTTCATTGGGGCTTCCCTGGTGGCTCAGATGGTAAAGAATTCGCCTGCAATGCAGGAGACCTGGGTTCAATCCCTGGGTCAGGAAAATCCCCTGAAGAAGAGAATGACAACCCATTCAAGTATTCGTGCCTGGAGAATCCCGTGGACAGAGAAGCCTGGTGGGCTACAGCCTACAGGGTTGCAAAGAATTGGACAAGACTGAGTGAGTCATGTACGGATGTGAGAGTTGGACTATAAAGAAAGCAGAGTGCTGAAGAATTGATGCTTTTGAACTATGGTGTTGAAGACTCTTGAGAATCCCTTGGACTGCAAGGAGATCCAACCCGTCCATCCTAAAGGAGATCAGTCCTGGGTGTTCATTGGAAGGACTGATGTTGAAGCTGAAACTCCAGTACTTTGGCCACCTGATGCAAAGAGCTGACTCATTGGAAAAGACCCTGATGCTGGGAAAGATTGCAGGCAGGAAGAGAAGGGGATGACAGAGGATGAGGTGGTTGGATGGCATCACCAACTCAATGGATATTGGTTTGGGTGAACTCTGGGAGTTGGTGATGGACAGGGAGGCCTGGCGTGCTGCGATTCACGGGCTCGCAAAGAGTCGGACATGACTGAGTGACCGAACTGGAAATGGAGTGAATAACACTAGGGATTCTTATTGCTAGATCTTTATCAGTGATTTTTTTTTTTTGCTTTCACTGTGTTCACCAAGCAAATCTCCAATGCATTTATTGCATATACTGATCCTCCACCAGGGGGCACCTGGTGCCATTGCCTTTCTGGGGTACCTTAGCTCCATATCCAAGAGTGGGTCCAGGGAAGAGCTTGTGAAGGTTTGAAAGTCTGTGCCTCACCCAAGTGAAATCTATCCAGACAGAAGAGCAGGTTTCACACCCATTGTGTCAGGAAGATGGTCAGAGACTCTGGTTGGCAGGTTCAACAGTGTGACTCCCTCTAGACTGCAACTTTGGCAGTGTTCCGAAAGGCTCAGGGAAGCACATGGAATCCTGCCATATTTTAGTCTGAATTTGTGCAAATCACTTTGAGGCCCCCAAATACAGCCTCACAGGATGTATTTGTCTTTTCATCCAGATGCAGCTGGGGACGGATGTCTGTGTGTTTCACCTCCTTCCTAGGCTGTCTGTAGACTGGCATGGAAGAAGGACAGCAAAATGATAATCTTCACCTGAGGGATGTTCTTTTTCTGCAAATTAGAGCAATGTAGACACTACGTGTTCCTATTAGTCTTGTTGAGCACTCTGCTGGGAATGGTGGACAGCCTCCTGGGTGAACATTAACTGATTTCCTCTTCCTAAAGGAATGTAGTGGGCTATTTTCATAAAACATATGCAGCCTTCAGTAGGTGAGTTATTTATTTTCAATGAAAATTATGACATGGGAATATAACCTATAGCAGGGCTTTACTGTTCATTTCTGGGAACACTCTGCATATGTCTCTAGACTCTTCATCTTCCAGGCAAAGAATAGTCAAGAAATCTCTACATCAAACTGCTCATGTAACCTGGAAATGTTGGTATTGGTAGTGCAGATCCAGCTTCAAGCCTGCAGTTTCTTTACACGTGAGTGCTACTTTCTTACCAATTAGACTTTACAATCTTAGTTTGCCTGAACACCAGGCTCATGTCTGCCATGTTGAATGTCTGTTTCTTTATGCAACTGTGACTTATCACCAATGTCAGCTAAGACTCTCTGTTCACAGTTGTATAAATGACCATGTTCCCATCTATTTCTGTAAGTGCTTTGGCATTCAGATGGCATATATGTTTTATTGAATTTTCCCATATTATGTCTTTTTCCACCAGGGATTAAGAGGCTAATTCAGAGTCATGTGATTACAGGAAGATGTGTGAGGAAGGCAAGAGGGATATGATTCTATCAGGTCCGCTGGGCCCAGACCAAGAATCCATATGTTTCCATTTTCCTAATAGGCAGAGAAAATAAAAAACAAAGAGGCCTAGAGACCTGCACCTGCATAAGCAGCCCAGCAGAAGTAATCTATAAACACATGAAAAGCAGCTCTTGAACAATTCCATCTACATTTTATTGAAAGAAACCTTTGGAAAGGAGAGAGGGAAGGTACAATTTACAAGAACCGTGGTATAAATCCTGCCACGGTGCCAACTGCTAAAAGCATTGGAGCCTGGGAAGGAGGGAGAGATCCATTCATTCATTGCCCCTAGAAAATAGGCATTCAGACCAGCCACACACCTCATGCGTCCCGAGGGATTTACACATCTGACTGACTGATCGCGCGAATCACCTTGGATTGATTGCTTCTGTATAGAATGTTCCTTTATAGCGTGTATGCCTTCTCATTGCAGAGTCCGCTCAATTCCATTCTGCCGGAGCCTCTTTGGGACACTTTGCATGAGAGATGCGGGAGAAGGGAATATTTTGTTTGTTGGTTTCTCTAGTACATTTCAAGACTGATTTACTCTTAAGCTGGGTGCAGAGGGAAAGTCCGTCATCCCCAGCTCAAGTGAATCCCAAATCAGTGGCCTCCTCCCCGTTTCTTCAAAGGACCCTGCATTTTCCTCTTTCCAGTATTGTTGCATGCATACTAAGTCATTTCAGTCGTGTCTGAGTCTTTGAGATCCTATGGACTATAGCCCACCAGGCTCCTCTGTCCATGGGATCCTCCAAACAAGAATACCGGAGTGGGTTGCCTCCAGGGGATCTTCTTGACCCAGGGATCGAACCCCTGTCTCCTGTGGCTCCCGCATTGCAGGGGGATTTTTTACCGCTGAGCCACGGAGGAAGCCCCGTGGTATTGTTATCACCATTTAAACAAATCTCTCCCTGGGCACATACGTATCTTTTTTTTCTTTCCTCGCCTCTTCCTGCCTTTTTTATTTCCATGGGAAAATAATTTCCTTCTTTGGATCTATCATTCAGCAGTGGCTGGTCTTTATGATGTGTTCAGGGCAGCTGAGTTGTATGTTTTTCTCTCTGTATCTCCTTTGCTTGGCTCTTCCTGAAACATCGGGTTTCTCTCCGAGGGTTGTCCATCTGTCTCTGCCTCTTAAGGGTTTTGATAACCCTTGCAGTCATTTTGCTTCTTGTCGTCCTCACTCCCGGTGAACGTGTTCAGGCCAACGAAGACCCCTCTGGAAAACCTTTCAGATCGTCTGAACCGGCCACGAGGGGCTGAAGATTTGAGAGAGACAAGAGTCTGAGATTGCTCCAGTGTCTGGCTGGCAGGAAACCATGGCCTCCCGGCGCCAGCTCGCTCGCCGGGATGTGTTGGTGCCGGCGCCGAGCACCAGGGGGCGCTGCCGGCTCGCGCACGGAAGGGAGGGCGCCCCGCGGCTCCGGGAGGCGGCCGCGGCACCCGGGTCCAGGTCAGGCCCCCAGTCTCAACCCGCTAACTGCGCAGCCAGCCCCACTCTCCGTGTCTGCGAGACTCAGGGGCCGCCACTCCTGGGGCTCAGACTCTTAACCCGCATGGACCTGTCAGGGACCCTCTGGGATCGTGGAGGACATGGGCTGGAGCAGGCGGGAAGCGTTTTGATAAACGTGGGTCCGGCCGCCACACTTGCAGAACGAACGCCTCGAGCTCAGCTCGTTCACTGGCCCATTCGTGTGGACTGCTTCCTCCTTCTGCCGTGACTTATTCTGACCATAAGATGTAGTTACAGTTTTCATGACTAAATAAGTGAACTAATGAACCTAAGATCTGCTCTGTGGGAGGCAGCCCTGAGGAGTGAAACCTGAGCTGGACTGACACTGAAGACTAGGGTTGGAGGCTTGTCTCTAAATGAAGAGCCTTGGGTAGATTGCTTACCTCCTTGACTCTCTGATCCTCAGTTTTTTTCTCTATGAAATGGGAACAATGATGCTGCAGTGAGAACAAGTCAGGACTCAAAGAACTTGAACCCCCTTCCCTTCCTTCACTGTTTTCATGGCACCATTCTCCTGATTTTCCCCCAGCCCCACCCCCAGGCTTTTAAAAAGCCTTGTGTGTGGGTCTCGCCTTTTCTATAGTTTCTATATTGGTGTCTCCTAGATTCAGTTCCACACCCTTGAATCTTTTGCTGTGCTTGTTGTTTAAATAATCCTGCGTGCTTTCTTGGGGCAACATGGCCCAACAGGTTTCGTCCCCGTCTCCCCCCGAGGTTTCCTGACCCCCAGATCGACAGCCAGTCCTTGTCCAGGGCTCCAGAGTGGAGCTCAGCGCCCACAGTTTCCACGCAGACCGGCCCAGGGTGTTGTGCAGGCCCCTAACTGACTTCATGGGGCTTCTCTCGTGGCTCAGTCCATAAAGAATCTGCCTACAGTGCAGGCAGAGTCGAGACCCAGGTTCAATCCCTGGGTTGGGAGATCCCCTGGAGAATGGAATGGCAACCTACTCCACTATTCTTGCCTGGAGAATCCCATGGACAGAGGAGCCTAGTGGGTTACAGCCCATGGGGTCACACTGAGTTGGACATGACTGAGCGACTAACATTTCCCTTTTTCACCACTTCCATCTCTGACTCCTCTCCCTGCTCCTGAATTTCCAGCCTGACAAATGACCCCAATTTCTGCCAAGCTTCTAAGGCAGACTTGGGAATCAGCACTCACCATGGTCAAAGNTTCCATCTCTGACTCCTCTCCCTGCTCCTGAATTTCCAGCCTGACAAATGACCCCAATTTCTGCCAAGCTTCTAAGGCAGACTTGGGAATCAGCACTCACCATGGTCAAAGGGTCACTGAGAGCATTGCTTTTCCTAACCATCCCTCCACCTGCGTCCCTTCTCCATCACTCAACGGTCACCCAGCATGTGGCTTCTCATCCCTCCCACCTGCTTCCCGCCTCCAGCCTCTTCCTGCCCAGCCACATCTCCTCCCTCTCCTCTGTGGCAGAAAGACCTTCCCCAAATGTGCGTGTGGGTGTGTCATCCCTCGGCTTCAAATCCTGCCGTGATTTTCCCAACAAAAGCCAGGCTCTTTGCTTGGGGCACAAGCCCTGTGACCCCAAACCCCTATGGGTATTGTGTCTCCACCCCTGGTCCTCACCCCCACTCCCTGATTCCCAGGGTGGAGACACTGATGCTCACAGCCACCCCCTCAATGCTCTGTGCTCACTTCCCTCACTGTCCAGAATCACGGCCAGGACTGGGGCTCAGGGTCACCACCACGAAGCTTCCTCAGCCGACCCCCTCCCAGTCTGGGCTTGGCAGGGGTCTGTCAGGTAGGTGTTCATCACAGCATATTCTAAATTTCCCTGCTCAGCATGGAGTTCCATGGGGCAGGGGCACCCATGTGTTTCATTCCTGTGACCCAGAGCAGTGCCTGGCACACACTGGGTGCTCAGAGGGCATCAGGACAAATGGCTGATGGGGAGGGCCCCTGCCAATGTGAAACGCAGCACAGGCGGAAGCATGTTGTTGTTACGTGGAGCACCTGATGTGGGGGAGAGAAAGATGAATTAGACACAGAACTGGCCTTCGTGAACACGCATTTTGAAAACTGTCACAGAGTGCAGTGAACCGTTGGTGCGGCTCTTATGCAGGTTCTCAGATCCTTTTGAAGAGCCGTGTCATGTTGCTCGCATCCTCATTTACCTCTGCTCAAGTCGTTTTCATGCTGGGAAGCCGCCAAGGGGCCATCTGTTTCTCAGGGATCAGCCTGGGTCTCCAAGGACGTGAGGGCCTCGCTGACCTGAAACAGCCCGATTGCCAGTGCAGTGGGCAGGGCCTTCATCGAGAGAAGAGAGAACAGAAGGGGGAAGAGGGTTCTTAACTCCCAGGAGACTCTGAACCTGGGGATGGAGGAGATGTGGAGAAGACCTGCCTGCAGGGGCCTTTTCTATTCACTCTGGACTCAGGAGGAAAGAGGTGCTGGGAGTCTCGGTTGGGGGGTGGGGCGTGCTACAAGGTGGCTACAGGCCCACTGCCCTCTGGGATCTCAGCTATATGGGGGCTGGGTTGTTCTCACTAAAGGGATGTGATGCAAGGTCATCTTGCAAAAGGGTTGGTGGTTGAATTACCTCCACCCGAAGCCCAGGGACTCGGCATTTGTAGACAACTTCCTGGGACCTCCTGCCCACCACCTGCTGATTGTAGGGAACCTCCTCTTGCCTCACTCCCTGGGTGCTTAACATCTCCATCACATCCCATTAGAACTGTTTGGAGTTGATTTTCTGGCAATGTCTCCCAAGTGACACAGTATCATCTATAGTTCAAGACTTTTCTTTATGCTCAGGTTCTTTTAATCACAGTCAAGGGTCCCCTAGTTCACCAGGATCAATATCCTGACGGGATGCAATCCATCAGCGTGGGCAGCCTGCCAAGGGGAGGGCTCTAAGCGTCGTGGGGGCCAGGGTGGGCATGGCTGGACTTGCCAGTGGCCTGTGTAGCCTCCCCCGGCCTTGGTCAGCATGGCCCATTAGGCTAGAGGGAAGCTAAGGGTGGTTGCAATAATGATGTCTGGTCCCCAGGGCCCGCAGTAGCTCAACTTTCTCTGTGCTCCTGCTGGGTGTGAGGTGCTTCTCCTCTGAGTGCTGTGTGCTTGAAGGGCTCTGCACTCCTGGGTCATCTGGTATCCCCCCCACCAGTCAGCGAATCCCCCAGAGTGTCCGTTTCCATCTCTCTCCAGCAGTTATACGAAGCTTATGCACCAGAGTTTCATCTGCTTTCCTTGAGGGAATAATTCCACATGCATACACGGTTGATGGTTTCAGAAAGTCTGCAGCATCGTATGATAGATGCTATGTAGGGCAGAGAGCATTCCCTGGTTGGGTATTTTGCTTTTCAAAAAAAAAAGAACACTTTTTTACTCTCTTTTTAAAAATTAAATAAATTGAATAGCCCCGAGAAATTGCTGACTCATTCCTAAACTGGCCTTTCCAGTCTCTTGCCTTGATGTTCCTCTAAACTCTGGGTCTTCTGCAGTTTCAGGTCTCTTTCTATCTCCTGGGTCATCTGGTATCCCCCCCACCAGTCAGCGAATCCCCCAGAGTGTCCGTTTCCATCTCTCTCCAGCAGTTATACGAAGCTTATGCCCCAGAGTTTCATCTGCTTTCCTTGAGGGAATAATTCCACACGCATACACGGTTGATGGTTTCAGAAAGTCTGCAGCATCGTATGATAGATGCTATGTAGGGCAGAGAGCATTCCCTGGTTGGGTATTTTGCTTTTCAAAAAAAAAAGAACACTTTTTTACTCTCTTTTTAAAAATTAAATAAATTGAATAGCCCCGAGAAATTGCTGACTCATTCCTAAACTGGCCTTTCCAGTCTCTTGCCTTGATGTTCCTCTAAACTCTGGGTCTTCTGCAGTTTCAGGTCTCTTTCTAAAAGTGCTTTCCTCTTTTTCATGCCTCATTATGATCTAGCAAAAATCTAGCCAAAAAAAAAAAAACCTTTGGGAGTGTTCCTTTTAACTTTACCCCAGTCGATCTAACTTGAAATTAGACTGACCTAGGTTAGAATCAGAGAACTCTTCTTTTTACTGGCTGTGTGATCTTGAGACACTCATTAACTTCCCTGAGAGTCAAGTTCTTCACACTGTAAATGAAGGGGGCAAAGTGGAGTTGAGATTATTTCACTGGGTGGTTGTGAGTTTGAATGTGACATTGCACATCATATGCTTAGCAGAAAGCTCAGCACATTGCGAAGACACGTCTTCTTAATATCTACATGATATATGAATAAAAACAGTCACAGTGGACAGGCCCCTAGAGGCGTCTACTGACCATTCTGGCATTGGGTGGACATTATTTAAGGGGAGAGAGATTCTAAAGGAGGAGTTGGGAGCCCCAACTCTGCCCCTTACTTTCCTCCCGGTCTGGAAAGTTACATCACATCCTCAGACTATTTCCTCACCTAGAAAACGGCGGTTCACACGGATTCAATGAGGTAGTGCCCACAGGAGCAGGTGATTCTGTGCTTGGCGCTTCCAAGGCTCTTCATTTCAACCACTAAAGGAGAGCTGTGACCCCAAGTGCTCATTCCTTCTCTTTACTCTCTTCATGTCCTCTTTTTCTTCTGGAATGAGGGTGACTGACAGCAGCATGTAGGCCTTACCACAGTCCTGGGAGATGAGGGAGGTGAGGAAAGCGCCCTTGGCGCATATGCAATAACTTCCTGGGGTCATCTCCACCACATCCTGTGATCCCGAGACACCCCAACTGCTGGATTTCAGCAGATGAGTCTTAAGAGCTGTAAAACACTTTGAGAGTAGGTAGGGGAAGAGAAAGTCTGAAGAAGATGCTTTAGAAAGGCCCAACTTTTTCTGCAGAAGATGCTTGGCTTAGGTAAACTGGTTGCACACCAGGGTCCTGGTGAAATGTGGCCTCCTTGACTTGAACTCCCTGGAGAAATAGGCTCTCTTGGGTGGAAGTCAGGTAAAAGATTCTCTCTTCTGTGTTCATGCTCTGGACCGCCACCGCCTCTCCAGCTTGGCTGAGGAAAGACCAGACTTCTTCCCAGAGAAGAAACAAACAACTGACCATGTTGAATGCATCAGCCTTTCCGCAGGAGTTTCCATGTGAACATTTGAAAGCAACCTCAAGTTAGAGGAATGACTTCCTAATGAGTGAACTGTAGACAGAGAAGGAGGTATTATTTCAGCCAGGTAAATGATCCTAACACCACACCAGCAATTCTAAAGGTCATTTTTGTAGACATACAATACATTTCACTATTCCAGCTTCAACTAAATTCTTGGTAATGGTAAGTATCAGTATTTCATGAATCCAGGACAGACATTTTGGAGAAAGTAAAAAAGAAAGTAAAAAAGTTAAAAAAAAAAGTAAAAAGAGATAACTTAGAAAAAGACATGAATTTGGGCTGGAAACGCATGGACTCACTCTGCAGGGAGATTCAGTGAAAAATCCCAATCCATGACTTCAGACAGGTGAGCCCTTTCCCACAGAGCTAAGGAGCACAGATCAAGGTGCGGGGGGATTATGCTCATCTTTCCCCACTTCCTCCCACATTATTTATTTGTTCTTAAAATCAAGGCAAAATTGACCCATACCATTGTATTAGTTTCAGTGTACAACATAATAATTCGATACTTGTATATATTGTGAAATGATCATCACCATCAGTCTAGTTAACATCTGTCACCAATACGCAGTTGCAAAAAATATTTTTTTTTTTCTTGTGATGAGGTCATCTGAGATTGACTCTCTTGGCACCTTTTTACTATTTACTATTTTTTTAATTGGAGTATAAACTTGGCGACCTTGAACTATGTAATACAGTGTGGACTGACTGTGGTGTGCTGTATGTGACGTTCTCCTGACTGTTTTCTAACTGGAAACTTGGACCTCTTGACGTTTTCCCTCTCCCTCTCCCTCTACGTTTACCCCTACCTCTCTTTTGAGGATCCTTTTTCTTTCATTGCAGTAGCACTGTTTATAACATCATATAAGCTGCATGTGTGCACCATTACATTTCAGCTTCTGTACACCCAACCTCACGCTCACCACCAAAAGTTTAGTTTCCATTGGTCACCATTCAGTTGATCCCTTTCCTCATTTTTCCCTCCCCCTCCCCCCCACACCCCTTCCCCTCTGGTAACCACGACTCTGATCTCTGCATCCACGACTCTGAATTGTGTTTTGTTTTGATCATTCATTAATTTATTTATTTACCAATATTATGCATATGAGAAAAATCATATGGTAATTGTCTCTCTCTGTCTGACTTATTTCACTTAGTGTAAAATGCACACCAGATCCACCATGTTGTTGCAAGGAGCAAGATTTCATCTTTTTTTATGACTAATAATACCCTGTTGTATGTATAACCTATATCTTCTATGAGCACTTAGATTGTTTCCATATTTTGGCTGTTGTTAATAGTGCTGAAATGAACACAAAGGGATGTATATCTTTTTGAATTAGCATTTTCATATTCTTCAGGTCACTAGGCAGAAGGGGAATTGCTGGGTCATATGGTAGTCCTAGCCTTAATTTTTTGAGAAGCCTCCACACTGTTTTCCACAGCAGTTGCACCAACTCTTTTGGAGGAAATTTTCAATACAATAATGAGCAGTAGTGATATAAAAGTATTCAAAAGATCTCACTATTTGTAAATGCAAGGCAAATAGATATTAGATACATCTGTGAATATTTAGTAAACTGTTACAGAAAATGTTGATTCTAAGGAAAATATGTAGTATAACATAATGAAGATTGGCAAAGAAAAAAGTCTCCCCCCCTTACTTACAACTCTGCACAGAATTTGTCTTGTCCCATCTACCACCTTGATCTTTTGATATCTGCCATATCACCATCTGCCATCTGCAGGCAGTACTGCAGTTATAGTGTGTGTGTTAGTTGCTAAGTTGTGTCTGACTCTTTGTGACCTCATGGACTGTAGCCCACCAGGCTCCTCTATCTATGGAGGTTCTCCAGACAAGAATACTGGAGTGGGTTGCCATCCCCTTCTCCAGGGGATCTTCCCGACCCAGGGATTGAACCCAGGTCTCCTGCTTTGCAGGTGGATTCTTTACCATCTGCACCACCAGGGAAGCTCCACAGTTACAGTAGTTGCCCAGTTTAGATTCCTACCAGTAGCGTGTGAGCGTTCCCTTTTCTCCTCATGCTCACCAACACTTGTAATCTATTGTCTTTTTGATAACAGCCCTTCCAATTGGTGTGAGGTAATACCTCATCTAGGTTTGGATTTGCTTTTCCCTAATAATTAGAGGTGTTGACCATCTTCTCATGCACTTTCTGGCCATCTGTATGTCTCTTTAAAAAAAAATATCTATTCAGATCCTCTGCCCATTTTTAGGGCTTCTCTGCTGGCTCAGACAGTAAAGAATCTGTCTGCAGTGTGGGAGACCTGGGTCCACTCCCCAGGTTGCGAAGACCCCCTGAAGAACGGAATGGGTTACCCACTCCAGTATTCTAGTTGTCCTCATGAAGTTGAGTTGTATGAGTTCTTCATGTATTTTGGATATTACCTAGAGGGTCCTTTGTCAAAGTATAGTTCAATTTAGTGCTCCAAGGATTACCATGAAGGAAGTCATGGGGTTAGGAATAGAAAGGAAGTAAGAAACAGTTCAGCTGATAAAATTGATGGAAATGGATGGCAGAATGACAAGGCAAGCAAATATTGAAGATGGAGGATGGGGCCATGATCCAAGAGATGAAGGAAGCCTCTCGAAGCTGAAAAAGTCAAGGAAATGGGTTGTCTTCTAGAGCCTCCAGAAATAGATGCAGCCTCTCTGATGATCTTCATTCTAGCCCAGTGAGCTGCATTTCAGATTTCTGATCTCCAGAAGTGTGAGATTATAAATCTGTTTTAATTTAAAGCACTACCTTCGTGGTAACTTGTTATGCACACTTTCGTGAGTTCACCGTTTTGCTCAAGGCCATCCCTGAAAATTTTGACATCAGTTATTTACATGCATCTCCCTGTAAAGTCTTAACTGCTTTCATTGAAAAATGGGGCAGGAGTTTAGATGCTTTAAGCTTTAATGAAACATAACTAAAACAATCCCACAGGTAATATTTCTCTGCTCATTTAGAAGGCGCTAGAGGATCCTAGGATGTCCCTGGATCCCCATCAGGAATGTTGATAGCCAGTGGGCAAGCCTTCCAGCTCACAGAAGTTTCTATTTGAAGAGATGCCAGATGCGCATGCAATTCACAAATTCAACCTTCCACGCAAGAGTTGCTAACACATAGAGAAAGTGTGCATTGGGTCTCTTTCCGTGGAATGTAAACTCTGAGCAGTCGAGACACTAATCTTCTGAGTCTCTCAGGCTATGCTACTAAGTGGCAGATACAGCTTCGTGAATTGGTTCATCAAACTATCCAGGAGATCACAGCTTCCAAATGCAGGCCTCTGAAAGCGCGTCTCTTCAACCTTTATTTCTTGATTCACAGAGAAGGGGAGGCATTAATTGGGGCTGGTTGTTGGGTCACCCCCACTCACCACCCTATGCTCATGTGCTTCCATGGGGCCAAAAGAGCAGCTGTAAAATCAGCAGCCGCCTGCAGTACATGGGCAGCCTGGGTTTTTATTATAAATACACACTTCCTCCTGTGTTAGTGCATTATCTGGCTGACCTGTTAATTAGTCCTCTGGTCCTGGTAAAGTTTTGTTACTTACAGGCCAGAATCGCTATTAGCACTGTCACAAAAATAGTCACTTGCTTTTGCCCATGATGTTTTGCTGTGAAAGAAACAGCCTAGGTTTTTTTTGTTTTTTTTTTTTTTGCCATATCTTCTTAAGGGAAAGGAAGAGAAAAAGTGCATACACAAAGAGTGTAGTGCTGGGTGTCAGCTGTGGGCCATGTCTTGGAAAACTTGATTAGGTCCAGTGGATAAGTGACTCTCTCACGAAGTGACTCTCTCACGAAGTGACTGTAAAAACTTCTGTTCGAGCTTCCCTCAGGGGACTTGCTGGCAGAGAGAATGGAGTTTCTCAACAGTAATACATTTTGAGGTTATTATGCGAGGAGAGGAGAAATACTGGGATTCGAGAGGCTGTTTTTATGACAGGCCAAAGCGCTAAAAAATAACTAAACTCATGCAAACTCCAGACGCAAAAGACATTTCAAAGTCTGCTGAAATTTGGTTGACATCAGAACGACTGACTGACTTAGGTTGTATCCAGAGACAGAGATATGAAAGGATGTCCATTCACACCCAGAACAGAGGTGGTGCAGGTACAACCTTCTCTCTAAGAGAATTCCCCACATTTTGGAGAAAGGTTTGTCACGTTTTTTTCCTCCTCTGCTTCCTCATTTTTAAGGATGTGGCTAATTGTCAAAATTAGTGAGTCACAGTGTTGCTGGGAGGTCAGAGTGTGGCTTCGTTGGGTGTTTCTTTGAGCAAGGGGAACGCTAAGTGAGCGGAAGCTCCTTCCATGAAGGCAGGGCAGACAGACTCACTGGGCACCGTATAAAGTATCTGATTGGAGGATGGACGCGCATGTCCGTTCACAGGGCAGGAAAACGCAAACGCAAACGCTTCCGAGCCGGAAGTATAGAGGGTTGCGTCCCATCCTGTTGAAGGACATCTGAGGAGACGCTCTCCAGGCTTTCTACCTGGCTGTGGAGTTGGGTCATTGAATGGTTTGACCTTTTCTGAGTCAGGATGTAAGGCTGGTTAGTTTTATTGACCTGTTCATTAGCTATTGTTGAGGACTTAATTAGCGTTGAACAAGTCATGGCTCTGCTCAACAAGAAAGATGAAAACACTTGAGGAGTGTCTCTGTTCTTCTTTGACACCAGGTACTCAAACTCTTTGTGGCTTTCCATTCTTTATACGTTCGTTCCCTCCTCCATTCATTACCACGTGCTTCTATGCGTTCATTCAACAAATATTTAATTTTCTCCTGCAAATCTTGGGTCACTGTGGACCTCAATTGCTGAGTTGTTTAAGCACTTCAGACCTGGGCTTGCTGCTGGATTAGGTACAAGAGCTCAGGCCGCGAGCAGGAAGGAGACCTTAGGAAAGGCATGGGATTGTTGGACTGGTCTCTGTTAAAAAGGCACAGGGCTTCAGATGGGATTTCAATTAGCTGAGTTGTCAGTGACACTATGCATTGAACCTTATCCCAGGCACTTTGGTTGAACAAAAAAGTTATTGTGACCTAATGAATGGAAACAAGATGTTTCACCCTCTACTGGGGACATGATTAAATGGTCATCAAGATTAATAAGGCATGCAAAGGGGCAGGGCATGAGGCCCTTCTCAGCTGGGGAGTTAAAAATATATTCCTTCAGCTTGGTATATTTTATTTTAATTAATTTTTTTGGGGGGGGCCTCACTGTGCAGCATGTGGGATCTTAGTTCCCCAATCAGGGACTGAACCTGTGCCCCCTGCACACAAGCATGGACTCTTAACCAGTGGACCACCAGGGAAATCCCAGCTTGGTATATTTTAATTTTTCATTGCACCTGTTACCTGATCGTATTCTAATTTCTTTACTTACCTTTTTTGGATGGGGGCATGTGTAATGAAAGTATAGGTATATATGTAATATGTTCTTAGGGACTGGGTAATATTGAAAGCAGTTAACACTTCTGAACTCTATACTTAAAAATGGTTAAATGGTAAATTTTATGTGTACAGTTCATTGCTTCTAGCCACAATTTAAAGATATTGAAGGAGATGACCCCGTATTTCAACTAGGTGACAAACTCATGATGAGACTCTCATCCATCCACCTCTCCATCTGTCTGTCTACCCACCCATCTACCTGTCTATCCATTTTTCTACCCATCGATTTTAGAATTAGAATCCAGAACAAAGGGAATTTTCGTGAATACCTTTATTAATACATTTGTTTGAGGTAAAATTAGACCTTTACTGAGTGTGAGCAAGTTTGATTTGGTAGTTGTTTTGATAAGGTTTTTTTTTTTAACTTTATTTTCCACATTGGTTATTTGGAAGACATTTTTGCACAAATTGGAGCTAAGTCTTTAGCTCCATGTTTACAATAAAAATATATTTAAAGCAGGCATTAACATATTGAGAAATATCTCTTTTACAACTATTTAAAGAATATAGTATAAATTTGGAGTATTAATTTGATGATGTGCAAGAGGAGACTCAAACATGAGACCGTGACTTAGAGGGGAAATCTCTTGGTCATCCCAAGGACCTACCTTTTTATTTAATAACTTAGCTGAAAATTGAGGGAGATTTCTTCAAACCTGTAAGAATTTTCCAGATATTTCTTACACAGGAAGAGCACTTCCAAGCATGGTAATGATGGTTTGAGGTTTAATTTCCATGCTTTAATCAATAGAAAATGCTTACTAGGTAGCCCCTACTGGCAACAGGGAAAGTATGAGACACTGCTTGTTCATTCTCCTAGTCTGCAGTTATCAAGTTTAGCAAAGCAACCCAGTAAGCTGCTTATATCTGTCCTCCTTAGCCTGAAGCCTTATCTTTTTGGCCATGAAAGCAAGCCTGAGGGAGCCGCTGGCCATGCTAGTTGCCCATAGTTAAGCCTGTTTGTTCAGTAACATTTGGTTCTGGATAAATGGCAGTGCCTCCGCTTATTGGACCCAGGGTCTTATTCCCTGGACCCTGCCTGGTTGCTCACTGGCATGTCTCCACCTGGGAGACAGGTTCCTGGGGTGCAGAGCAAGGAATCAGACACCAAACGTGAAAGACTGAATCAGACCTGGAGGAAGAGTCCCAGAAAACATCCTCTCCCCCAGCTTCACTGCACCTTTTCTGGGAGGCTGTGTGGGCTGGGTGGTCATGAATCCTGGGATCCTGGAGTCAGACTTCCTGGGTTTGAATCCTAGCTCCTCCAGTTTCTACTTGTGCATCCC